TTGCGAAATGTATCTACAATTATAACTGAAGTCCAAAAATGATCCAAACATTATTTTCAAGTTCTACTCTGTAAGACTAAACTGAGATATATCTGAGAACAGAGATCATGTTCAAATAGGTTTAATTTCATCCTCTCATATATTTGTGTAAATGACATTGTCTATTGACATTGGAAAAAAAAAGTTCCATGTGTTTTTGTCTTACCTTTTTCCATGATCAGTGAAATAAAATAAAATAAAATCACAAACGGAATATACAGATATAAATCAAACTCTTTTACACCGGAACAGTTTGTTCAGTCAGCCTGTGAGTCTCTTTAAACACTCATGCGCGCTGTCCAGTCCGGGTCTATATGGCCCAGAACTCATAAACCCCGCTGACCACTAGGGCGAGGGGAGGAGACCTGCGCTTTACTCATGAATAATATTGCTAATTAAATCCGGAGGGTTTATGATACGGATTCCCCATCTCAGCCTTACCTCAGTCCAGACTGGATGCGCGTTCCGTCAGGCTTCGTTCACAGACGTTTGGACAGGGTGTCGTCAGAGCTGAATGAGACCATATCCTTGCACTTTCTGATTGGACACATGGAGAAGAGAGAGAGACGCCGGTATGCTCGTCCTCGGGCTAATTAATGGTGATGCGGAATTATAAAACAAGCGAAAAACGCAACGTGTAATTAAAACTCTACACGCGCACCGGCATCTGCTGGAAAAGTGCTGACGCGCCTCATGCGCGCTCGAGCAATATTGCCTCATGCATTCTAGAGCCTAAAGCTAATGTGAAGAGAGAAAGGTTTAAATTAACAGCCACCAGTTAATATGATCATTCATCTGTATTTCAGTCCCGTATTGCGCTGTGTTGTATTGTGCTCATGCTGGGTTGTGATTGAGTTGTTTTGTATTATATTTTATGTGTTTAATGTTGAAAGCAATCGTTTTATATTTCATATAGCAGAAAAATCTCCACACATATTGTCATGCATGCAATTACAGCTGAAAACCAGAGAAGAGGCCTATGACAGTGAATATGTTCATTTATTAATAATACACTCTAAAAATGCTGGGTTGTTTCATCCCATCTTTAGGTCAAATGTGGACTAACCCAGCTGTTGGGTTACATTTTTTAATTAAAATTTTTTCCCCAAAAAATTTGGGTTAGTCCATATTTGACCCAAAGTTGGGCTGAAACAACAACCCAGCATTTTCTAGAGTGTATAATTAATTTACCTTATTTCTCAGAATGGTTTTATTTTTAACGTTTTTAAAAGAAGAATTACTGGCTACGTTAAAAAAGAATGAATGAATGAATGAAGTTGTCATAATTGGAATCTTGCCTTTAAATAAAAAGTAACATCCTGAGTTATTATAAAGGTACTGAAACTAAAACTAAAACAATAACCAGCTTAATAAATAAATAAATAAATTATGGGGGGGTATGTACTAAAATAACTAAAACTAAAATAGAAATTAATAAAAATTGTATAGATGTACTTTAAAAACAAAAATAAAACAAATCTACTAAAACTATGCAAACAGAAAATATATATAAATTTTTTTTTTTGAAATGAATTCAAATTGTTAATAAAAACTACAATATCTCATATATATTAGCATGATTTGTTAATTTTTGCACTCAGTTTGACTTTATGGAGTAATAACAATGTAGTCATACTAAATAAAATGAGAGGTATTGGACATTACCATACAGAAGTATCAAGCTCTTGTGTTTAGCAGAAATTATTATTATAAAATCAGATTATATAAAACATACTTTACAAAGTAAAAATATGTCCACCTGCCCTGAGCTGAGATTTACAAAAATACTCTTACAATAGCCACATGTGACAAAAATATGAAAAAAAGAACAAAAAAGTATTACTTTCATTCAGCGAGAATGCATTAAATTGATCAAAAGTGGCAGTAAAACTGCTTATGTTACAAAAGATTTCTATTTCAAATAAATAACTTATTAATAATTTAACTTTCTATTCATCAAAGAATCCTGAAAAATAAAATTGATCACAGTTTCCAGAAAAATATGAAGCAAGCAGCACAATTGTTTTCAACATTGATAAATGTGATATGTTTTTTGAGCAGCAAATCAGCAAATTAGAATGATTTCTGAAGGATCATGTGACACTGAAGACTGGAGTAATGATGTTGAACAGTTATTTTAAATTGTAATAATATTTCACAATATTACTATTTTTATTGTATTTTTGATCAAATAAATGCAAACCTTGGTGAGCAGAACAGACTTCTTTTAAAACCGACCCCAATATACTGAACTATAGTGTAAGTCTGTGATTTTAAGTACAATATAAATCCTCTTGGCCTACTTAACAATAATTTAGATCATGTGGCTATATGATGTTTAAAAAATAACTTTACATTTTGATTCACAGGCTTAAAATAATATGTGATTATGACACTAGTGAAATAATATAATAGTGCTACACATGTCTACATATGTCATCTAGCACTTTTTATCGAGATACTGGAGATAAAACAGAGTTCAGCAAAGGACAGATGATGTAAGAGCAAGACATGCTGTTCATTAACCCACCACAGGGCACAAACTCCCAGAATGCCCCAATTTTTCATTAAAATCATAATTACTAAAACCAAAATCCAAAATACGTAAGTCCAAAATACAATACTAAAACAACCAAAATTAAAATACATAAATACATTGGTAATGTATTACATCAGAAAAATACACACTAACACACTCATAGACATTCATACATAATTGTATTTTTATAGGTTTTATACTATGTACTGTGTTTATTGTGCTGTGAGTTTTTATATGTTTTATTGTGCTATTATTGTTACGCTGCAGTGTTGGTGTTTTTATGTGTAAGAATTCCATTGTACTTTCTCATACAGGAGTAAACTACTAGTATTAGATTACTAGCCTTGCTCACATTTGTCATCGGTCCAACACGAACCTGAGGAGTGAAAACATGAGTTCATAGTTCAGTAATCAGGTTGGCCTGACCTGGACTCTCAGTGCTGGACTGTGGTGTGATGTTGATCATAGTCTCTAGTGTTTTTCCTCTGGGATTTGAACAGATTATTCAATTGCCACATCCATGTGCTATTTAAACCACTGTACGTGTTGAACAAACAGTTGCATAAGCTAATAATTCACACAGAAAATGATTTCAAGCTTGTGCCTAAAACCCCCTTAGCTGTTATACATTCACTGTAAACCACGGCTTCACGGGGCTTATTGTTTTTATAAAACGGTTATTCTATATACATAGTAAGGTTTCACAAAATAAAACAGAGCAAATAAAGTGTAATGATATTAATAAAAACAGTATTCTTCCACCAAACAATGTAGTTCCTCAGTGGTTGCCAAGCAACAGACAAACGTAAACAACGGTGTATGTTTGTAGAGTAATTTACAACAGCTTCGAATGTGGCTCAGCCAATCAGAATCAAGGACCGGAACTATCCGTTTTATAATAATCCATTAGCATGGTTATTAGCGTTAACTAAAACTAAAACCATAAGAAAACTGAAACTGAAATTGAAAAACAAAGTACTAAAATAACTAGTAAAACTACAATAAAATGAATGAATGAATATGAATAAAACTATATAGATACTTCTAAAAAAGTAAATCTAATAAAAATGATTAAAAAAAAAAAAAAAATTAATAAGATAAAATATTAACACAATAACACGGTCTAATTAAATCAGTATTAAAAAAATATATGAACCCAATGTAAATACGAATATTGCATTCATAAAAATGTGAAAAGCCTTATTTCTCACTGGCTAGTTCAGGTCTCTGTTATATCTGTGTCGCAGCAGTAGATGGTAGCATATCTCCACTTAGTTTCTCAAGAGGCCATCACGGTCTTCCATGAAGTTAATCAGATTTTAATTGTGCAGTTAAACACTGACCCCCCTCTGTGTGCACTGTACTGGACGTTTAATTGAAGATTAGTGTGTTACAACTCATATTAAAATTGGACTGACACTATGATGACAGTAAATTCAGTGTTAGCGCTCCGCATAGCTTGGAAATCAGATTTTGTTGTTTACTGCCTCTCTCTCACACACAGGAAATATTGGCCTTGGTTCAGTCAGATCCAGCAGTGTATGCTGGTTTATTGCCGTCATTTATTGCTGTTTTGGGGGCGGGGGATAAACTACACACCTCAGCAAAAACACCGCAGTGTGTGTTCAGTTGTGCTGCTAAATGTGCAAGAGAGAGAAAATATGTAAAACACACACAGAGAGAGAGAGAGAGAGAGAGAGAGAGAGAGAGAGAGAGAGAGTGAAGAAGAACGTTTGACTTAACATTATTGCAAAACAAATTAATGATCTTGCGGCACTAAATGTGTCGTTCCGAACAGCAGAAGCTCTTTATTTTCCGTTGACTGAACATTATTGGGTGGAAAACAAAATATGCTACAGCACTAAATGGCCCAGGAGCTGCACAAGTTAACATTTTTAGCGTTTGCTCTTGCAAAACTTGCCATCACAATGCTAGTTTGTTCAGAGTGGTTGCCAGGACACTGCTAAGCAGTTGGGGTTTTTGGGATGCTTAGGTGGTAGGGTATTTTGGGTGGTTGCTTACTCCCCACTTCTTCTATTTCCTTCATTTTGTTAACGCTCCCAGTGAGTTATAAAAAAGCGTGAATGTTCTCTGAGCGTTTAAAAAAAAATCTTGGTTATATATGAACATTAAAAGGACATTCCATTTTATGATTTTGCAAAAATCATGGGAATGTTACTTTTGAATGTTTTCCGGACATCTGGAAAAATTAGTAACATTTAATCCAGAACGTTTTGCCAGAACTTAGCTAACGTTTTCCCTGTGAGGGTAATTAGTAATGTAAAAACCAAAGTTGAATACAGTTAGGAGTTTGTTTAAATCACTAACCCTCAGTATTATCAGTTGAAAGGGTAATGCTGGCCTTAGCAGCTATAAATATGCTGCATATGTCGTTTCATTATGATTCAGTTCAGGTAGCATCTTAAATTCCCACAGAAGAGACTTTTTTAAGGAGAGAGCGTGACTTTCCATATAACATCATGTTTAACATTTAAACTAATGAGGAGAAAGAGGAAAGACATATTTCCTGGATAGATGTCCATGAAGGGTTTACACATGAAATAGCATTTACTAGTCCAAGGACAGACAGCTGAGATGAATGCTGTCAGAGAAATAAACACAGACATGTCATATTGACACACAACCTGTAAACAAACACTTCACCATAGCAGCCTGCGTCCCAAATGACGCACCGTAGCCTACAGCTCCACTATGCACGCATACACTATGTACTTATGCACTATGTACTCAATCATGTAGTGTATGAATTATATAGGGTTATTTT